GTTTCCCCCCGTTTCCAGTCTTTATGCTAAGCTAAGCTAAGCAGCTGTTGGCTGTAGCTTCATATTGAACAGATATCAATAATTACATTCCTTTAATGTTTCTACGAGACTCAGAGTCTCCACAGGAAGTGACGATGATGATGATGATGATGATGTTTTGTGCCTCTGCTCACCTGAAATAAAAGACCTCAGGTTGTTGGTGATGATTAATAATCAATAATAAAGACATTCCCAGTTCCCCTGAGAGGATGAAGATGATATTTTGATGAATTTTCTATTTTCTCCACTTTTCACAGTTAGACGCTCTGTTTTAAATGTACCGTTCTTCCTGTTAATTTAAATAAAGTTGTACATGTTGGGATTAAAGAAGAGTCTCTTTTGTACCAGCAGGGGGTGGTAAAGAACTTCACATGACTGTTGCATTGTGGGAACAGGCTGCATTCAGTTTCTTTATCAGTAAATATTTGACTGTGTTCAGTAACAGATTGTAGTTTGGACAAATCTTCCCTTTAAAGCTACATTAATCAATATTTATACAATTAATTGATCATTTATTAGTCCTTATTCCTGTATCAGAGATATTACGGCTGTTTCTGGTTAAACTAAATCATTCAATATAAAAGAAGAAAGAAAAACCAAAGATTTAAGTTATAAATTATACAAGTTCAATGATGTCAGGATGTGGTTAGCCTAGCTTAGCATAAGGCTAGAAGTTTAAAAACACAGAAAGCAACTAGAAACCTCTAAAGCTCACTGATACACAGCTCTGGTTGAGGTGTTGGTGCGACTGCAGCTCTTAATGACTCTTTTATTAACAGTTAAATAGTTAATGGACCACAGAGTTTGTTTTGGAGTGTTTATTAAAAAGGGAATACAAAAAAAAACAAACTGTAGAACTCTACAGTGGACACAAAGCAAGCAGACACACAGCAGCTCATCGTTTCTAAGCATTCCTGTCACTACGACTACAGCTAACTACTCGCTCCACCTGCGCACACAGCTACAGGTGTGCTCCGCCCGAGGTCAAAGGTCACCTGCAGGTTCCCCTGACGACAGCAGAAGCACACCGGGGGAGAAACAGTCGAGGAAATTGAAGATTGAAGAACATCCACAGGAACGGAAAAACAACAATTGTGTACACGGGAGAAGACTTCCTCGTATTGCTCGCGTCTTATTGGACAGCTCGGTATCAGTGGAGTACCCTGATTGGATGAAGGAGGACACAAAGACGACCTCCAGGAGGATTCAACATGAGATTCATCTTCATGAGATTGAAGTCAGAAAATCTTCATTTTCATGTCAGAATTTTAAGATTAAATGTTCACGTGGCTTCAAAAAAAATTTAAATATAAATCTAAACAAAGAAAAACAAGATTAAAGCAAACATAAATATAGAACCATATTATGCATATATTATAATCAGCCACATCTGGGATCGTGGGTTAGAAAATAATCTAGAAGTTAAAGTGCAACTTTATAAAGAAACAAGAAATACTGTGATTGGAAAGCGTATACTGGTTAATCTGGGAGGTTCTCAGTCCAGGTGGGAGGAGCTTCAGTGGTTTTTAAACGTCCGTCATCACGCCGAGAAGACGCAGAAATCCAAACATTTGGCCAAGAGTTAAGAGTCTGTTCAGAGTAATCTGCCCGCTAAAGTTCCCATCAGTCTTTGCTCCTGCAGTGGCTGAGGAGGAGGAGGGCAGGAGGAAGGGCGTTGGCAGACACCCCACGCTCCTCTGCGTCTCTCAGGCCGTCAGCTTCAGTCGTCCTGCGGAGAGAACCAGACCATCAGTCAGCAGTGAGGGGACTTTCTGTCGGACCATGTCCACACTGCTGCAATAAATGTGAAAACTCTTTATCCAGCGCGGTGCTACGAGCTGCACTACAGCGCCACCTTCAGGTCAGACTCAGTCTTTACTGCAGCCTCCAACCGTTCAGAGAGCGGGAACAACTAACAAACATGTTTAATGAATGCTTTAAATAGAATA